AAAAATTACGAAACTCAATAGACACTTCCTGAATTTTACATGGTTAGAATTGACACCCTTCATTGTTGAGTCCATAACTCTTAATTCCTATAGGATCTCTGAAATTTTTCAGGTAAATCCTACTCTTAAATACACAAAATATCACTAAAGTATGTAATAGTATTCTTTATATCTCTACTCCAAAATAGCTAAGAATACTCATTACGCAAAGTGCCTTTTCGGTATTGGAATATTTCAATAATTCTTAATCGTGGGTATATTTCTTGACCACAAAGGTCATTAGCTTTCTTATATCTCATTTCCAAGCTTGATCTAAACTCAATAAAGAGAAAAGATAATTAATGGCATCAAGTATCAATAGCTCTGATACCAATGAAAGAAAGACTTATGTGATCTTTTATCAGGGAGTACATTTTTTTTTTTTCACCCCTTTCATTTGAATAAAGATCACTTACAGGTGGTCTTTATTATAATAAGATAAATTTCAAAATAAAATCAACATAATAATAAAACCAAGATCTTAACAACTTGATGCTATTGAAACAACTATGCACTATGCTTGAGAATAAAAAGATAAGATTGCAAGAAACAAAAAGAAGAGTGCCGAAGATTTCCTCAACTGGGCTTATTACACTCCACACCGAGTCACCACCATCCGATGGCACGGGATCAACGGTTTAGCTTCAATCTTGAATCGAAAAAGCAAATTTCGACCCAAGTCACACCAATAGAACATGAACACCTTTGATCACAAACTCAAACTCTAGGTGAATTCTCTTAGCAACCTAGTTTGAGAGAGATGGATTCTCTTTTTGCTAAACCCTAAAACCCTTAGCCGTAAATCCATATTTGAAAGATAGGAGAGAAGAACTTCATAACCTAAACCCTTAGGTTCTTTCACAATGTGGGAAAGATAGATCAAACATGAGAGAGAGAAATTTTCTTAATAGAGAGATAGAAAGATAAGGTGTGCAGATTTTTTGGTAGAGACAATCTATTTTTATAAGCTTTGAATAAGATTAGGATTTCTTATTTCCTTGGCTTGCCCCTTCTTATGAGATTGAACATAGACCGTCGATCAAAAGTGACTTGTGGGATGAGAGATCTGAGTCATTCATTCCATAGATGGGCTATCAACATTATGGAAGGTGCATGAACTATTATCCTCCTTTCCTAAACCATTTTCTCATAAATAGAAATTAAATAATTAAATCTAAACAAAATATTGTGTATACCATAAAATAGCATAAGTCTACTCAATCTTTCTACAAAATCTTTCAAAGATATATCAAGTCAATATTTAGTCAATATCTTCTAACCATATGACTATATGCCATATCACCAAAAAATAGGAAAGAGAATAAGGGTGGGGCGTGCCACCTAAGGGAGACACTCATGGGCCCCACCTTCAAAAAATATGGCGGGCTCATATGCATAAAGGGCCCCATGATATTTTTATATATTTAAAATTAATAAAAAGATTTTATAATATTATTTGAATATTTAAATAATTGTAAAGTCAATATCTTTAATTTTATAAATCAAAAAATTATAAATAAAATATCCAGAGATTCATAAAAATTCAAATAATAATATTAAAATAATTTTCATCATAAAACAATCACAATTAAATTAATTTGATGAGGAAATGATCCATATGGTTTAGGAATAGATAATCATGGGGCACTCCACCTTCAATTGTGGACTACAGACCACACTTGCTTTATCAAACCGACCCAGTGTTTCCCATGACCCATAGTCCAAGCAGAGGCTCATTAGCGAGTCACCAAAGTCTGGCGGATGAACTAAAGGGTCGCAATCCCAGTCTGTGGATTATAGGTCCTTCCTTAGAGACAAGTTAAGGTCACCAAGACTTTATGCGACCACAGTTCTATGACCCACTCGCACATGCATACACTTCACCCTAAAAGGTGGATTTCTAGCTTTCTCGAACCATCTATCAATATGCATGCCGTGTGATGGTACATGGATGAGGTTTTCGAGCATGTCTCTGTAGATTACCATCACACACAAGTGTCGCACAATCCCTCGGCTCACTCATCTGGGCATGCTCTCCGACCTCATCAAGGGCTAACCCATAAACCCTCATCGGTTTGTTCTTCATGCCCAGTTAACATGGGTTTTTTTCAACCGACTGGCCTAGATCGTTAAGCACAGATCGGTATCAGCAAACCATCGTTTGCTTAGTATGGTCCACGAGGGACCACACTCCCACTGAGTTTATGTTCCACTATATCATTTCATTTTACAAGTACTCATAAGGCCTTTAACGCCACATAAATCCAACATAATCATGTGATGCCTAAGTACTCACATGGCATTTTTTTTTTCCATTAACAAAATTTTATACATCTTAGCAAAAAATATCTCCTCATACAAAAGGCCCCCCAAATCAATTTCTTGGGATGTGTTTGATTGGTGGAAGGTATAGTTACCAAAGTTGTCTTTACTGTCAATTTCAGAAACTACACCTTTAATGGGATAGAATGGAAGCGTAACTTCCCAAATTGATGTCTTTCTACGGGACGTAACTTTTGAAACTGTTGATGTTAACGCTTGATGATTTGCAATGCTATATCTTGAAAAGAGAACTTTTGAAATTAACGCTTGATGCTATATCTTAGGCTTCAAATTCCCATATTGATGTTAACGCTTGATGATTTGTAATGCTATATCTTAGGTTCAATTCTTAAGGGTAGGGACCCTCTCCCACTCACCCCCAAAAAAAAAAGAAACACAAGGACCGATACAGTGTGGTTCTTGTTTTCTACCTTGGCACTAAAGAAGAAAGCAAAGTTTCTTTCTATATCTAACACACAAGTAGAACTAAAGGGAATTTAACATAGTAATGAGACAAAAGGAAAATTGTTTCATACAGGCTGGACCACATTTCTACAATATGCGGCCTACAGGCATAAAGCATCCATCTTAAAGATGGATGCAAATAGGTGGTCTATCTAAAAAAAATGTAACTAACGGTCCAAATGTTTTCTTAATATAGTTATTATTTCTATTTTTCAAAAAAAAATTTCATATTCATGATCTCCATGTTAAAAATTATATATTCTCTAAAAATTAAGATCACATTATATTTAAAAAATATATTTATTACCAAGCCCATATTTCTACAATATGCTGCTTGGCGGCATATAAACCGGGTCCGAGACAAAATGAGAGATACATAAGTCTTCTCTTTCCACAATTTGCTAGTCCCACGAGGTACACACCACTAAAAGAAATTTAGGTTCAAAGTTCAATCTTCAAATGAGCCGTCTTTCTTTTGAAGCTTCAAGTTAACATGGAGACCGCCGCCTTCATTAAACCTTGTGGTTTGAGAATTTTGCAAGTTAACATACATGGCAAAAATATTATCTACTCCCGCGAGAGCATCGATTAAAGGAAGGGTGAATTTTGCCACAAGAACTAGATTTATTATTTGTCTTAAAAAAAAATTGTAGTTTCGATGGGAAACTTACGATTGCTTGAAAAATTATATTCGCCCCAAATTCAAAATCCTCTTTTCTACCAGGTTTTGGGATGCACCTAACTTCTATCGTATAAGTTACAACCTTATATAAACTTTTCCTAAAAGCACAGTGTTTTTATTCATGGGATATTCGTAACTAAATCTACGTCCCCCCAAGGCATCACGCATCCATCATAAAGATGGAAGTAGGGTGGTGATCCTTCTAAAAAAGATAAAAACTAATGGTCTAAATTGTTTGTTCAAAAGATATTATGTTTAGCTTTTTTTTTTTTTTCAAATTAATGATCTTCATATTGGAAAAATCATATCATGGAAAGTGGCACATATCTACATACGATGTAGTTGGCATACATATACATCCGTAGCTGTAGAGGTAAGGTGCAGCTTCAAATTTTATCATGCTATATAATTTTGATGTAAAATGTTCTTGGGATTATCTCAAAATCTATTTTTATATTTAATTATAAAATTTTAAATTTTAAAATTAGTTAAAAATCAAGTAGATATATAAACATATGAAAATATTGAAAATCAACGATGTAGATAATATGTTGTAAAATGCACTATTTCTAATACTTAAAATCTTTTTATTTTTCATGGTCATACTTCTCGATGTCGGATGATCAATCAAAAGGTTTTTCAACATTAAAATTATCTTTTCCAATGAATTTTTAAGTGCATATGTAGCTATAAAGATAAGGTTGCAACCATATATAAACTTTTTCCATCTACATACTGAGTCCTAAACTCCTAGGACCTATAAAAACGCCGTCCATAACATCTTGAAGTTACTTCATTATTAGAGACGAGATTTTAAGTTTATTAGGGACGGTATAGATTTTTCTTAATGTGCCTGTTAATCAATGCCGTATAATAAAAATGACAGGATTTCTTCCCTGTTTCATTGGAGAAGTACTTGCGTTGTGGGCCCTTGAGGTTCTATGCCCTATCACAAAAGCATGTTTGTTCTAAAATTACTTTCCAAGTTATTCCATATGTCCGGTGTTTTCGATAAATCGAACATCGGACATGTAAATTTTTTACGTTTGAATAAAAGAAAACGGTTCGATATTCAAAATATCAAATTCCAGGTAGCTCATTAAGCTTAAATCTTGCCATCCGATTTTCAATATACCGGACAACTTTTTTCTCTCTCTAAAAAAAATCCAATCTCCCCACTGTTCCCTAAAAGCAAATCAAAGGCATACGGCCTCCCCCATAAATATCACAAAAAATTGAACCCTGTCGTTCATGTATTTTCATAAATTTTCGTACTAAAAAACCTGTTTTAATCCCTCTTGCGAAAGCGGCTCATTTTAGTGGACGGCGATACTACAAATCTGAGAAACATTACAACATACTTTGGATCCGTATGCTGAACGATGCACAAGTAGCTCAATTAGCGCCCAATATCAGAACGGACGGTGATGATCAATCTTTCAGTTATACTTAGCGGATTTGCCCGTAAGTGTGGTGAAGAATGGGCGCCAAAATTATTTGTGTTTTAAAACCCGGAGCTCCATGTTTGGCTTATTGTTTCTCTCTCTATTGCCATGAAATAGTTGCAGAGGTTTTTCGAGTTCAAGTACCAGCTTCACGCGCTAGTCTCCCATGTTCGAGACCTTGCAGTGAGCATCTTAACTCTTCTCGCTTCTCTTCTGTTTCTCTTTCTTCTTTGCCTTTACTCATCCCGCCCTTTATGCTTCTCCCAAAGCAGGAGACAGAGAAGTACACAAAGGATGAACTATCTTTCTCCATTCATCTTCCATGCAGACTTCCCTGCTTCTAATCTTTCCTTTTTTACAATAAATGTGTGCTTCTATTTCTCAAATCAGAAAAAAGAAAAATGATACTTAACACAATCTATGATTTTTCTAGCTTTTGAGTTGAAGCTTCAATTATGGTAACAAATTTAGAGTGAACAGATAAATTCAGAAAAGGAAACAGAAGTAGAATTCAACCTACATGAATTCCAAGCTTGCGCCTAACCTCATCACCAGAAGCTAATTGTGCATTCAGATCATGAATTTTCCTATTGAATTCAGCTTCAGATTGCCTACGTTTCTGAATCGAACAACAAATGGAGAAAATAAATACAAAAATCATGGAACCATCAGAAGCCAGGCAGTCCAAAAGAGATCAGGAAAGATAATGAAAATCGACAAGAGAGAGAAAGACAGGGAAAGAGAGAGATTCAAACCTAAATAGCTCTTTTCCCTAATCATTTACTGCACTTTTGTAAATCTGCTTAATAATTCTCCCTGAAATGATGTTTTCCACATTCATTTGCCGAATGTGGGAACTTTGGTTATAACTTCCTATTTAGGATTGGTGATTTAAAGAATGAATTTACGCTTCAAAATATGGTGTCCTCCTATGACATGGATTATTGTACTATCACTATTATCACCTCATCTTCTTTGAACAAAAATGGGAGAGCTATAAATTAGTTTATGATGTAGATATGATTGTAGCTGGAAGTTAATTCCTCATAAGTTCTCTATCATTTTCGCAATTAATAATTTTTCCTAATATCTCTCGTGTATAATTTTATCTCTTTTCTTTATGATTTGTGTAGATGAAACTCCTTCAGGACGAGAACTCCTTGTTAGAACACAAGCAAAAGGAGTTAAAGGGGAGTATAAATAACCTTCTTGAATCAAGAGAGACATTATGAGCCAATACGAGGTCAGTTTTTGTATTTTGAGAGAAGTTTTGCATTTATATATCAAGGCTCTAGAATTGAACCAAACAGTGCGTGAAGGTGCTGCGATTCACTTTTCTAAATGGTCACACAAAAAAATACCTATTGCATTATGGGAGCTCCTTCTAAGAAATAAGCTAGTTGACAATAAGGATTGAAGTAAACATTCAGAAGACTTACTTAAAACTCATATATCAAAGTTATAGGCTAGGCATGCTTGCCATTCATTGCTAAATACAATTAAGCATGAGTTAAATACAGGGTAGAGATACTACTCATCAATCCAAGTCCATTTCCTCAATTTTTCTCAGTACGTCTCGTTCTTCATACAGAAGTGAGAAGCCTGAGATGGTATCTACATCTAGCTCAGAGATAAATTGATAAGCTCTAACTGAAATATGTAGCAAGACCGTTTGGCTTTATTCTAATTAGATCTTGGAGCTCATTTAGCAACTCCTACTTCCTCTGTTATCGTTGATGTTCATTCTTGATACTCATATTGGTTTTGCTTTTCTTTCACAGATGTTCTTTACATATTGAAATTTACAAGTCCTTCTAGAAAACTCTACACCATCCATTCGATAATATCTATTATCAGATGACCTGCAATAATGGGCAATTTGTTTTAATTTTATTGCAATAAAAGGTGTGCCTCAATTGTGTGCGCATGATCGGAATTATGAAATGATTTCTCAATTGACTGAATGGGACAGTGCATCCATTGTATACATGAGCTACCAAAAAGACCAAAACATCCTTATGGGTTAATTACATATTTGCAGCACAGAAAATGCCCCAATTGTAATTGAAGAGTATGTAGACAATTCACGTTCCAACTCCGGCCTGATGGGCAAGGATTGATTAGCGACAGCTTATGCACTAATTATCAACAAAATTCATCCTAACAAACAAACCAGGTAGATGACGTGTCTTAGATTTGTGCAATAGTGATGCTCAGTATTGGTGGTCATCTGATGATAAATGTTTTCACATTAATGGGTCGAGTTTTCTAGAAGGATTTGAACCAGTGTGTACGCGAAGTTATTGTTGGGTTTATGTGGCCATTAAATGCTTTATGAGTGATTGTAATAAAACATTTGATATAGTGGAACATGAACTCAGTGGAGTGCACTCCCTCATGGACCATAATATGCAAACAGTATTGCAGATACCGATCTGTGCTTGACGGTCTAGGCCAGTTGGTTGGAAAAAACCCATGTTACCTAGACATAGAATATAAACCGATAATGGTTCTAATGGGTCATCCCTTGATGAGGTCTGAGTATGCACGGATGAGTGAGCCGAGGGACTGTGTGACCCATATGTGTAATGGTGGCCTTCAGAGACGGGGTCAAAACCTCATCCACACACCATCACACAACATGCATAATGATAGCCATTCCGAGAAAGCAAAACCACATTTCAGGGTGAAGCTTATGCATGTGCGAGAGATACCCCTATGCGCCATAGGAGCTGTGGTTGCATCAAGGTCTAGGTGACCTTGGCACGTCTCTAAGAGAGAACCTAAAATCCACAGACTGAGATTGCAACCCCTTGGCTCATCGGCTAGACTTTGGTGACCCGCTAATAAGCCCCTGCTTGGACTGTGGGTCATAGAAAACACTGAGTCGGCCTAATAAAACAAGTGTGGTTTGTAGTCCACAGTTGAAGGTGGAGTGCCTCATGATGGTTGATTTAATCCCTAAACCATATGGATCATTTTCCCATCAAATTAATTTAATTATATTTGTTTTATTATAAAAATTATTTTAGAATAATTATTTGAATTTTTATAAACTCTTGGATATTTTATTTATAAAATTTGGATTTATAAAATTAAAAATATTGATTTTACAATGGTTTAAATATTCAAATAATATTTTAAAAATTCTTTTATATATATAAAAATTTTATGAGAGCCTATTGTGCACATGGGCCCGCCATATTTCTAGAATGTGTGGCCCATGAGTCCCTTCCTTGGGTGGCACGCCCCATCCCTTTATTTTCTTTCTATATGTTATAAGATTTGACATGTGGTCAAATTGATTATAAGGTTGGAAAGATATTTGACCGAATATTGATTTGATATACTTTTGAAAGATTTTATGAAAGTATGAGAAGACTTGTGGTATTTTATGGTATGCACAATATTTTGATTGAAATTAATTTGACTTAATTTCTATTGATAGAAAAATGGTTTAGAAAAGGGAATAAAGGTGGGTTCATACACCTTTCACAATTTTGATGGCCCATCTATGGAATGGATAACTCAGATCTTTCACCCCACTAGTCACTTTTGATTAACGGTTCACACTCAATCTCACTAAAGAGACAAACTATGAGAAATCCTAAACCTAATTTTGTTCTATAAATAAAGGACTTCCCCTCCTCTATTCTCTACACTAACCTCTCTGTTTACTCTCTCTAAAGTCTCTCTACTCTCTCTCTAGAGGGGTCTCTCCTAGTTCAATTAAGGGGCATGCCCCAAGACCCTAGAGCGAGCTAGAGCTTTCTCTCTCTAGCTCTACCAACCCTTAGGTACAAAATAAGATGAGAGAGAAAGAGTATCCCTCCTAGGTGGGGCGTGGCCCTTAGGTGTGGCTAGAGAGAGAAATTAGATCTAATTTCAATCTCAATCTAATTTCAATCTCAATCGTCGATCCCGCGCCATCGGATGGTGGTCATTCGATGTGGAGTGTAATAAGCCCGGTTGAGGTAATCTCCAGCACTCTCTACTTTTATTTCTTATAATTTCATCTTTATATTCTCAAGCATAAGAAATAGTTATTTCAATGGCATCAAGTTTCAAGATCTTGGTTTTATAGTTTTGTTGGTTTTATTTTGAATTATATGTTATTGTAATAAGACCACTTGTAAGTGATCGTTTGCCAAAACAAAAAGGGTGAAGAAAAAAAAAAAAAATTCCCTGGTAAAGATCACATTGATCTTTCTTTCGGTTATATTATAACTTCACTTCAATAGTTTTTGGCTTTGTTGGGCTGTATCTTGACCATGAAGCTCAAGAGCCTATTTTATGTAATGCAGATACATTATTTCCTCTTTAGCAACATTGATGGCATGTTATACTTGTATCCAGGAATCTACATGTGCATTGAAACATTCCATTGAGATGAGAGACCGAAAGATAGCAGTTCTCTGCGAGAAGATTCACCACCAATATTTACTATTTGACTCTATTAAAAAAGAAACTGTTTGTATCAAGCAAGTTGTTGACAGAAAGCATTGGCTTGTGAGCGAAAAAGAACAATCAGGCATGTAGCTTTCTGTCTCGAAGCTGTAATCTTTTGTCAGCTTTATTTTGGAAGCAGAATCATTGGATTTTTTGCCCACTCAAAATTTATTTTCATTGTACAGTTCTTTATTTGGATCGCTTATTCATCATCTTCCTTGCATGTCTAACACTCAGCTATATTGAAAAGGAAGGTGGATGACATTTGTTATTCGAAAAAGACTTTAAAGGTATGGTCACTTCCTGAATTGGAGTTCATTGCTCTCAGGACAACTCTCTCAATATTTATGAAGTCCAATGGAATGTATTTCAAAATCACATAAATCTGAAGATGCTTCTCATTCTCTCTGACGGATGCCTGTCAGTTCATATTTCTTTGCTTGATGCAAACTGGATACTCTGTTAGATGCAACTAGCACCTTGATTTATGGGCTTCCTAAATATTTGCCTGTGTTTGTGGAGTGGGAGACTATTACTAGGTTTCTGTCCTTGCATTTTTCTTGTTGAGCCTGCTATATTTTTCTCCTTTACCTTCAGTTTCTGGTTTGCCACTCAGAAGGTTTATTGATTCTATCTTTGCAGAGAAGACACGAATTTTAGAGAATAAAATCAAGAACAACCAAGACGAGCTCAAGAGAAAGGATCAAACCACTTTGGAGACGAAAAAAGGATAGAGGAATTGACAACAATAGATGGTCTTCAACCACAAATAGAAGCTATATCCATCTCATACTTGTCTTTATGTGAAGTATCAGTCAAAAGTGATTTGAGTATCAGTTTACGGTCAGATGTTTTATCTTGACCAAGATTACCTTCAGAAGGACATATCTGTAAAGGAAGAAACTATCCAAAGTTTGGTTACTGAGAAACAGGTTTTTTGAACTTTGTCTGATCTTTCATTCTTCAATTTCCCACATTGATTGTATTGAATGATTCATTTATATTGAAAATGATTCATTTATTTTGAAATGAAAGGCCTTGCTTTTGGAGATACAGAACTTGGGATTGATCTTGCAAAAGATTCAGGAGACCGCTTCGGCCAAATTTACAGTAGTAAGAAATCTCGGGTTTTTTATTGCTTAATGTAATTCCTCTTGGAAATCTGCTTACTGGAATTCTTAGGAAGCAAGAGAGATTTTAATCCTAGAAAGGTTTATTGGATTAAGGGGAGTCTGTTCTGATTTTCACATAACCAAAATGAAAACATACATAAATTTGGTTATTACATCTGTCCATATCACTACTCAAAATATGCTTCTTGCGTACACAGGATCAGGGAGTACTTCTTTCAGCACTACAAGTTAAAGTTATAGACCATGAAATAAACTCAAAGCAGCCTGATAGGTGGATCTATGGTTCCACATCAAGCAGTTTTCCTTTATTTTCTTTTCTTCAGTTGAGCACATACATAGAAAATAAATAGTGGCATTATATTCCTATCTTATTGTCACTTTTCAGGTCACGTATCAGGTTAGACGAAAAGATTCAAGAGGATGATGCAAGTTTGGTATACAAGCATCTTGAACGAGGTAATGCTATAAATATAGTTATTTTTATTGCACACTCCTTGGAATTTGTTTTTTCATTCATGAGCTCTTGATTGGAACCAATAACCTAGGGTTCCAAGACTAAGCTTCAAAACCATTAGGTTCCATCATGAAAACAAACTACAATCAGATGTCTAATAAATCATTTGTCTTATTAACTACTACTCCGATGCATAATCTGTCTAATACACTGTGATTGTTAACCCACATGAGCATACCATATATTTCGGATTACCATAACATTGATTGTTTCCATACAACCCAGCCAGTTGGTTGATTCTTTCACCCAAGTGATGTCCTCAAATCCTGTATCACAAACTGATGGAAACAATGTCTCTGTTGATGGAAAGGTGGTAGGAGCAATCAAGCTTTGAGTTGGTGTCCATACATACTTCCATTTTTCTGGTTTGGTAGTGTATTAATGCTTATACCCTTGCTCCTATTAATGAGTATTATTCATGCAATAGTTTTATGATCTTACAGGGCGAGTGTGTTTCTTTTGTGCAAGAGCTTGACACTGAGAGTTCTATGACCAAAACAGAAACTTGAAGTGAGAGGTAACATGCTTGTTCAATTATGCTTTTTACTGGGTTCACCTATTTGACAAAATTGTGAGAAGTTCAGTCTTTCCATTTGTGAAATTGGGAATAATCTTACCGCTTGGTATTTTGTCAATGTGTTTTACATTGCATGTTTTGCTTTTCATGTTCCCTATCTAGTATCTACGGCTTCTCATATCTATGTGAACTTTATGGCTCCACTTCACTATAAATACTGGAACTCATGTGTTTCCAGATTAGTTACTTCTCAAGTTGGGATTTGCAATTTCTATCAACTGCGAATCGATGCTTGGAGTTAAAGTGGACTTTCTTTCTAAGGGTTGTGTTCCAGTCTATTATGTATACTTTGTATATAATTCCCATTAAAATTGCAACAAGTTCAATGAGAAACAGCAAAACACACCATGCCATGCAGGAATAGTTGTGCCTCGGGCTACATGTAACCTGCAATGTCTTTGTTGTTAGCTCAAGAATTGTTGGTAACTTGATTTCGATCTTAAAATGCTAGTTCGGTCGTAAATTGTTTCACTTTTTATGACATATTTGAGATTCTGGGCATCCTCAAAATCAATATATTTTCTATGCAAAATTTCTGAACATGTATCTTTACATATGATCATTTGATTCAGTTAAAATTGACAACAACATGTTTCTTTATGACTCGTGGATATTTGGGTTTGCTTTTGAACAAGTGAGTGTACTGCTGCGTTCCATTTAAATGTGAGAACAGTACACCTCATGTGGGTTATGTAGCAATAATGCACCATAGCAATCTCTGTTTCATCTAGTCATAGATTAGGCCAAAAGAAATTGTTCCACGTGGTGGTTGATCAGGATGTTTCGGAGAACTATGATCACCTTTGCTCATTCTTTGACAGAGTGGTTTCATGGCAGATCTCTACTGATTTCAATGCGGTCACCCACGGTTCCGATTTGTACTCTCTCTTAACGTTATAAGAGTAGTTCATGGTGATATTTACTACTTTTTTGTCATTTTTTTCCTTTATAAAACATGAGACGAGCTCCAAAGAGTTATTCTCTCTCTTCAAAGCGACATCTGCTTCTCCTTTCTCTCTCCACCTCTGTCTGCAATATAGACTCTGGTTGATTTTCCGGCAAACCCTTTCCACCATCTCTTCCTTTTAGACATTTTCTGGGTTTTCCGGCAGAGGGTGTGACTTCTAACAAGCGTTTTGGCGGCATTGATTTCTTCTATACTGGTTAGTTTTCCCTCTTTAATTATGGGCACCCAACTCTTCCAACTATTTTTTAGCTGACAGTTTGGGGCTTATTTAATTTAGAGCGGCCACATTCAGGCCACCCGCATTCTCTTTCTTAGCTGCTTTTTAATTTTCTGGCAAGGCACCGTTGCCCAAATGATGCTTCAAGAAACCCTTACAGGAAATTTTAGCCGGAAAACAGCCCGGCTTTGCCATTTTCCTGAACGCAGAGCAGAGGGTTTTCTTTGCCAAGAAATTTTCTCCACAAGCCCCCGTTTTTTTTCCACAAACCCCCAGGTTATACCTCTTTAGCTGCGGCCATTTTTGGTCTTCCATTTTCCCACAACGACCTTTTTTTTGCCAGGCAAACTTCTCTGATATATACCAAAAAAGTTTATATAAGGTTGCAACTTAAAATGTACAATCTTAAAAAATCCATCATAAAAATGTTGTTTGGATTTTGAAAAACCTTATAATTGATCATCTGACATTGAGATGTATGAATAAAAAAAATAAAAAAAAAAAATTTGAGTCTGCATTGAGATGTATAAATATGAAAAGAAAAAAAAAAGATTTTGAGTCTACAAATAGTGTATCTTGCAATAAATTATCTGGACCGTCCATTTTCAAGATTTTATATGTTTTTGGATCTACTTGATTGAACCATTTTTAGAGTTTAAAAGTTTATAATCACAGATGAAAATAGATTCTCAAGGCATCTTAAGAATTTTTTATATCAAAATTTTATTTGTGATAAAATTTATTTATTTTTCAACAAGTATTTATGATAAAATTTAGAGGGGGCGCCTTAATTGG